GCTCCAGAATCTGTGGCCACAACTTGGAACTGGAAAGTTTTCAGACTTTCAAAGTCAAAACTCTTCAACGCAGTTATTTGTCCATTTTCTGAGTTGATGTTCAGAAATGCAGTCGTTTTCATTTGTCTGCTCTCCTCCCTGACTAAATGATAACTTAAAGCAGCATTCTCAACCAAGTCTTTATCCAAAGCAGACACAGAACAAATTGGATTCCCAGGAACGTTGTTCTCTATCAGATAAAGTTCTATTGGATTATTTAAAAACTCTGGCGCATTATCATTGACGTCAGACACATCAATGCTCAGAGTTCTGGATGTGGACAGAGGAGGCTGACCGCAGTCACTAGCAGTTATTGTGATGTCATAATGAGACACTGCCTCTCGGTCCAAACGCTGTTTTAACACTAAAGAGTACATGTTGTCCTGGAATGATGGTTTTAAATCAAATGGAACATTATTTGAAAGACTACAGATCACTTTACCGTTTAGACCCGAGTCCTGGTCTGTGACACTAATTAAAGAAACCACAGTCCCGGGTTTGGAGTCTTCTGAAACCAGTTTAGAGAGAGAAGTCACTTCTATTTCTGGTTCATTGTCATTTTCATCCAACACTTTAATAATCACCCTGCAGTCACTGCTCATGGGCGGGTGTCCATTATCTGTTGCATGAACATCTAATTTAAATACATCAGCTTCTTCAAAATCAATTTCTCCTTTAACTCTTATTTCACCACTGGCTTTATCTAAGCTAAACATGTCGTATATTCTGGAGTCAAGCTCATCACCAAAAAAATATTCAATTTCACCATTTACACCTTCATCCAGATCAGTTGCGTTAACCTTCATTACGCTGGTATCAGCTTTGACATTTTCAGATACTGTAACTGAATAAACTTCTTGACTGAACACAGGATGGTTATCATTTGAATCCAAGACTGTGACTGTGACGTTCAGAGTCCCTGATCTGGGAGGATTCCCACCGTCTAAAGCTGTCAGTGTCATTTTATGCTCACTGTCCTTTTCTCGATCCAAAGATTTTTGCAAGACTAAGAAAGGTATTTTGTCCTCTCCTCTTTCTCGAATCTGTAAACTAAAGTGTTCGTTGTGATTCAATTTATAAACACGCACCGTATTCACAGCCACATCTGGATCGCGGGCAGTGGGCAGCTGGAAACGCTTCCCCGGGGGCGTGGACTCATAAATCTCTAATGTTTTCTCCTCTTCCTGAAAGCTCGGTGAATGATCATTAACGTCAATAACTTCCACTCCAACATAATGTATCTCCATGGGGTTCTCAGCCACTAGTTTCAGGTTAATGAGACAAGGAGACACGCTCTCGCATGTTTTCTCTCTGTCTATCGTTTCCTGCACGAACAGGACGCCATTGTTTGGATTTACTGTAAACGGAACGTCCTCTGCTCCAGCAACAATGCGAAACTGCCGTTCCAGTAGGGAACTGATGTCCAGCCCCAGATCCTTCGCGATGTTTCCAACAACAGATCCCACCTTGACTTCCTCTGGGATAGAATATTTTATCTGAGCTAAACTCGGATCCACCAAGCTGAGCATCACAGAGAAACTGAGAGCGAGCCACCAAGACCGCAGCCCTCCGCTTTGTCCTCCTGCTCCCATTGTCTCGGTTTGATTAAAAAATATAAAAACGTAAATCCGTTCACAGGTAATCACACAGAGTGTGCGTTGAGGAAATCATGGACAACCCCGTTAGAATTAGATCCCATGCTAATTGTATCCATTTTTTTTTTCTATAAATTGGACTCGTGTCCGAATAATCCGTCTCCTTGTCGAGCTGAACAGAATGTGAATTTAATGGGCAGGGCCAGCACCATTACACCAACCTTACCCTTTATGACACTGACACCGTGTGGGCTGAAAATCTATGTTAATTAAAAATAATAATAATTTTAACGGTGGTATACACCGCCATTCAGCTGTGTTAGAAAATTAGACAATTTGCTGACAGTTACTCCAACGTGATAACTTATTTTATTTAAGAAGCACTTCCATGAATTAAGTTTGGTTAAATAGATCTATTACAGATCTAAGTTTGTTCATAAAAATGCATGGAGCATCTTCAGTTAAATGTTACACTGTTAGGCTACTTTGTTACAATGAATAAAATAATAATAATAATTGTTTACATGAATATAGCTCAAATAGTATATGGAAAACTAAATACAGTTCAAGGTCAATATTATTAAAATGCTGTGTTAATGTTATTATAATTATGAAAGTAAACAATAAGTAACATCAAAAACACGGACCCAATTTGCCCTTAAATCTCAAAGGCTTGAGAAAAAAAATGGATCCAAATAAAATATGCAGCAATATTAAAGAAAGTGAGCTTATTTAAAAGTTCAAATTACCAGCAAAAAGAATGAAAACGTAATAACATTTAAAGTGGAAAAATGCCAAACAATGAGACAATCTTGACAAATGCGAGTCCAAAAAAATTGATAAAAGCTTTTCATACATAAACCAAACCAAACCAAACCTCTAAAATGTCATACAATAAAAAAAGATATATCCATAAAAGACTGATTTGTTTATTTTCTTTTTAATTTAAACTCTTTAAAATTACAAAATACACTTAGAAACATGAGTACTTCCCAGCATGTACAATTAAATGCCTAAAACAATTTCTTCTTTTTTAGATAAAAACTTCCCCAAAGATACGCTTGCAGGATTGATGGCTTCAAATATTTGACAACACTTAGCAACGAAAGATTTAATAAAAGCCATGTCTTACCTCCTCAGATGTTTTCCTCCTGTCAGGTAAGACCAGTGTGTTTG